CTCTCTCTCTCTCGCTCTCTCTCTCTCTCTCTCTAGCTTATATATTACTTGCAAAATAATTTCAAATACAAATTTGTCAGTCTGGCAATCTGCAGACTCAAAGTGTCATATTTTTGTACTACAGGAAGAGGGCGACAGTCAGTGTCATCTATCTGTTATTTCCACAAACGGACAAATAATGAATCTCGCACTCTGTAAAATATGTATGATCTATTTCATGATCTATTTCTTGTTCTGTTAAAGTTCTGTAATTCTATTCTTACGTTCTTCTATGCAGTACAGATGTTGTTTCAGCTCAGAATCTGGAACAAGAAGATAAAATGCCATTAAATTAATTGAAGAGTAATGTACTGCACTCTTACAAAGTAGTGTAAGTGTAAGAAGAAATAATGAAAAAAACAGTTGAGCTCTCTCCCTCTGTGGTCCAATTTCACCAGGGGGCATAGATTAACCCCATGTATGTGTGTGTGTTTCACTGAAATCCTTGCATATTCTCTTAATTTTAACAACCTGTGCCATTCAATTACACAAACGCACATTTAGCTGAAAACATACTTTACACTTTCACTGTTTTATTTTAATTATACTTATTTCAGACTAACCCTACCCCTAAAAGAAATGCTTTTGCATCCTTTTGAATTGTTGAATTCCCCATCGAATCTGTATCTGTTTGCAGAAACACGTGTTTAGCAATATCTGAAAAGTACTAGTGGCCTGTAACTGCACAAAACTTGTGCTGTATGCATGAAAAAAATCACCTCTGTACCTCTCCTTCTCTCTCTCTAAGCAGGCATACCAAAGACATTGTGTAAGACTGCAGAGGTCAAAGTTCAGTAAAGATGAATGACAGCTTCATATCCCAGAAGGCAAAGAATGAAAGTATGATGACACAGTTTGTTATTATGTATGTTTATGGTAAGTTAGAATTTAAGTTCAACTTCTTATTTAGTTTAATGGCATTTCTCCTGGAACTGATCTGTTCAGTGCAAACTTTAGACTTCAAACTGAGGAAAAATGCTTTAAATAAACACAAGTATTCACATTTGTCATCAAGTATATCTGACACTCTGCGTTTACATTTGACATTCACATTTACAAATCTCACACAGTAGGTCTGGTTCATATACATCATCAAAACCTTACCAGTAAATGAAACACACACACACACAGGTATGAAACACAGCTGAGGAGCAGCGTGTGCCCTTTGACCTCTCATTAGTGGGGGCGTGGGGGAAGGTTCAGGTTACAAATCCAGCTCTGTTTGCTATTCAGGATTAAGTCCCCCTCCTTTCAAACCCCCAAAGGTGAGAGGTCATAGTTTTTAATAAGGCTCAGTTTGAGAGGTTCATATTTTTATTACCGCTTCTTATTGTTGCTCAGTGTGAGGTATGTTTGAGTGGTTTTGATCACCATCACGTTTTTTTATTTACACGTTGTTAATGACAAAATGTGACATACACTCTTAAAAATAAAGGTGCTTCAAAAGGTTCTTCAAGCGATGCCATAGAAGAACCATTTTTGGTTCCACAAAGAACCATTTAGTCAAAGGTTCTTTAAAGAACCATCTCTTTCTTACCTTTTTGTAATCTGAAGAACCTTCTTTCGCCACAAAGAACCTTTTGTGAAACAGAAAGGTTCTTCAGATGTTAAAGTTTCTTTATGGAACCTTTTAGACAAAAAGGTTCTTCTAGGGGATCGTGAAGCACCTTTATTTTTAAGAGTGTAAAGCCATTGCACGGGATCAAAATCAGCACATATTATAAATTCTCACCGACACTCTTTTTTCTCAAAGC